CAGAACTGCGAGGACACCCCACAAGTGTGTGGCCTTGACCTCGCAGTGACCCTTCTGCCTCGGCCTCCCGAGGGCTGGTATTACAGGCATGCACCACCATGTCCACCCAGGAGTGAGACCCCCGGCCGCCCCCGCTTCCTGCTCAAGTTACAGTGTGGTCACTGCCTCCTGGTCTGGTGGGCGCTGGCCCACACTAGTACTGCGAGGGCCCACGGGCACGCACCTGCCCACATTCGGGTTGCGGACTGATTTGCCCCTGGGCCTGAGCAGCCCCCCCTCCCTGCCAGTGGAAAACGGGGTGCTGTACTCCGCACAGCTGGCTCCCACTGCCAGGGTCAATGGGTGTCTGAGGAGGGCAGACTGCACTGGTGCTCAGGGAGGCCCCGCGGCCGCGGGACTCAGTCTGTTAGGGCAGCAGGGACCCAGCGACCCGAGTGGGGTGCAGCTTCCTCGCACACTGGCTGCTGAGACACAACAGCCGGCCGGGCCTGGGACACGCTGCGTCCCACTGAGAGCTTCGGGGGCAGCACTAAAGGAGGCCTTTCTCCCCAAGTCATAAGCACAGTGTTTCCGAAAACCAAACAAAACCTCCTAGACCGACTGCAAGGAACAGCTGAATTTAGGGTCTCGTTGGAAGGTGGGGCCGTTTGGCAGGACCCCGATAAAAACCTTCTGAGTGGTGTGACCCACTGTGTCCCAGGAGCCACATTCCCTTGAATGAAAATCTGGGGTGATGTCCTCAAGGGAGATGCTCCTGTCCATCCCCCATGGCCACCAGGAATTAGGGCCTGGGGCTGAGTGTACGCTGCCGCAAGAGCAGTTTACTCAGAATAGACAAGACCCTGCTAATATTTGTCCGTGCAAACAAGAGACGCCTGAGCATGCACCCTGAGGGACTCAGGCCCAGGACGTGAGCAGACCGAATGTTCGGTGTAGGCAACGCTGCTGGCGAGTCTGGACTGACGGCCCCACGCGGGCAGCTGGAGGTGCCCTGACAGTGTACTGGACTGTGTGGCTGAAACACAAACTCCAAAATGGCCTAGATCTTTAGTTATGCCCAATTTAATTCATGCAGAAACTGTTCAGGAAGCAGCCCAGGATCACAGCTGGTGAAGGAGGAGCTAGGCAGAGTGAGAGGGAAGGGTCAGTGGGAAGTCAGACCTGAGAACCTGGCTCTGAAATAGAGGGAGGGAGTCTCCTTCCTCCTGTGCTTGGATTTAACAAGGCCGGGACACTGGGGCTCCCCTGGCGGGGAGGAAGCTCAAAGGCGCAGGGAGACAGGAGTGCTGGGCTGGACGGAGCCTACGTGCTTCTCCCAGCAGCACGGCCTGCGGCTCCCTTGAGGCCCGAAGCACAGCAGGTGGGGCCCTGTGCTGGGGAGAGCTGCAGACGCGGCTCCTCAGCCTGCAGGCAGGGTGAGCGCACTGGTGGCCCCTGGCCGCAGTGGGAACGATGGCTTCTACAGCAGCAGAGGCCTGACGGGAGGACCTGTCCAGCAAAGGCAGGCATAGCGGCCCAGAACGGCGGGCAGGTGCACTGCTGCTAAGTAACTGTGCTCCACGGCTAAGTGGACACGGCGCCCCCAGGACACAGCACGACTAAAGGACCAAGGAAACAAAACAAAAAGAGGGAGCCGAGAGCCTGAGTCACCGCTGTGGATGGCGACGGCCTCTCTTGCAGCCCCAGACCTAGCTCCATGCACAGGCTAAAGATGCCTCGACCCAAAGGGAGGAGGCTGGCACCCCGCCTGCCAACACACCTTCACTCTCCAGGGCCATCCCCCAGGCTTCTGCTACCCGCGGCCAGCGGGCACCTTGCAGGGCTCATCAACAGAGGGCGCTGGAGGAACACTGGGGAGAAGGACGGGGTCTGTCTCTTGGTTCGGCTTCTGCAGCGCCCTTCCTTCTCACCCAGCGGCCTGCGCTGGCATGCAGGGACCCAATGGCACCACCTCAAGCTAGTTGTGCGACACCCAGCAGGCAGCTTCCGGGTTGTTCCACATGGGTCCTAGCAGGTTTCTCCCCGCTACACATGCACCCTGGCACAACCCAGCTTCCCCGGGGAGCCAGGCCTGCTACTGCCAGCTTCCCACAAGCCCAGCACCACCCCCCAGCCAGCTTCCAAGGGATCCCCACTCCCACCTCGGGCAAGTGGCTGCTACCTACCGACTTGGACCTACCACTGGCCCTGGGCAGCCCAGTGCAACTGCCCTGCTGGAGCAGGCTGCAAGCCCTGTGACACTTTTACACTGTTTGCGTCAATAGGAAGTGGGGCTATCGGAGACACAGGTCTGGAGGTCCCGAGGATTTCAGGGCAGTCACGGAACATCCGTGCGCATTCGTCGTCTCTGTCTACTCTGCTGGTGTACGAGCGTGCCGAGGTGGGCTGCGTCAGGAGGCTGCCAAGCTCATGACTGGGCAGCGCCATTTGGTGAGGGCACCACGCAGCTTCGGCTTGTGACAGGAAGCGGTGGGGAAACAGACACATGAACAAGAGGAAGTCTTGCTTTGTAACGACCGAGTCCAGTCCCAAGAGAATCCCTCGCTCCCATGTGACAGCACAAGTCCTTGCACGAGGGCTGAGCCCTCACCCAAACGCCTGCAGGGAGCCCTGGGGGACAGGTCCCTGTCCAAGCCATAGCCACCCTGTCCTGGGCACAGTGCACAGCCTCGGAATCACAACGGACACAGTGGCATCCCTACCAGGGGTGGGGCTCCACTCCCGAGGGAGCATGCCTATCGCGGACGCCCTCCGCAGACGGGCTCTGAGGACCACAGGCCAAACGCCACCTTGAAGTACTCTTGACAACTTGTAGATGTCAGGGAGTCTGTCCGTTCTTCTCAATCTTTCACACGTACCATCGTGAGGTTGTCTATGATACTCTCTCATCTTTAACATTATTTCCCTGATCGTGTTTTTAAAAACGCCTTTAACGAGTTCACAGTGATGGGCATGTCTTCTCATCCGCTTAGTCTCTCTGGAGGGTCAGCAATTTTCTCTGCAGAAGCAGGAACTCTGGGGCTTTATTGCTGCTGCTTTCTAGCTGGAGTGCGGCTTCCCCTGGCTGGCACTCCCTGGCCCTGCTAATCCCCAGCCTTTCTTCCTCCTCAGCGCGCTCATGCCCTCTCCCTGTGGATAATTCGACTGCTTCGTTCTCACACACAGTGCCTGTTGGCATCAGCCCCGCCAGCTCCGCCCTCTCAGGACAGGCTTTCGCCAGGACATAATTAGGCTGGGGTCAGTCGCATATACACAGGACTGCTGTTCCAGGACACACGACTAAGCACTGCCGTCATACACTGGTACGGCTGTGCTTTCTCTTTCTTCAACAACTTATTTCCCGCAGTTCTGCCCCCTGGTTTTCTAGCAATGTGTTGGGAATTCAACCTTGACTCCGACCTGCATCTTTTGTCACCATACCCATGAGGCCACAGAGGTGCTCGGTGATGAAGAATCTCTGGGGCAGAGCTCCAGTCAGAGCGATGGTGCCCCGCACGCGCCTCTCCTGAGCGGATCCGCAGCTTCCTGTGTACAGTGCCTCCCCTTCTTGCTCCCTCACTCGATCTGTGGGAGTGTATCCTCTAGTCATTTCCTAACAAACGTGTGCAGAACGTGTTTACAAAGCACCTAGAAGTCTTTCTGTGTGACTTAAATCTACCTGTGGGTAACCTCCCTTCAGAAACTCCGAGGTGAAGGTCCACTTCTCCAGTTGCTTCTGCAGCAGTGGAAAACTCCAAAGCCATTCTGCTTCCTGTACCTTCTCTCCCGAAGTTCCTGGTGTTCTGACCTTCACGATGAGGTGCCTTCCCCTTCCCCTTCCCCTTCCCCTTCCCCTGAGCCAGCACCAGCCTTACCTGGTGAAGGCTCAGAGCCTTCGTTCTCAGAATTCACTTATTTCTTGCCACCGCTGCCTAGCCCGCACGGTCATTTCTTTGCTGCACACAGCAAAGCTGTCTTGTCCCCGTTGCTCTGAGGCTGGAGAGACGGCTCTTAAAGCCTGCCTCGCTGCCTGCAGGAAGGTTTCGTGCTGAAGGCTGGACAGGGTGTGCCCTTCCAGTCTCCACTGGGTTGTGGGCCCACAGCTTCCCGGTTGTGTGTGTGTGGTGGTACTGGGGGTACCTGCTTTTAAAGGGCTGCCCCCAAACCTGGTTCCACCCCTCTCCGCTGCGTCCAGAGGGACCGAAGCTGCCAATTCCAGTGCTTTTCGCAACTCAGATTCTCATCTGTTCCCATTTTTTTCTTACAATGAAATTTTTTTGGGAGCTTCTACATCAGTATTCATCCATTTCTTTCAAAGGTTCCAAATTTTGTTGCTATTTTTAGTCATTCTAATGTTTGTGCTTTAAAAAAATCCTGTCGTTTCAACAAAATTTTAAGAACCAATGGGAAGTATCCATGTTCAGCCACATGCAGCTGGGAGGAGCAGCCTCTTTTCTGGGACTCCAAGTATTCACCCCGAACTGCGGACTCCCACTGTGGCACGTGGGCGGCACCGACAGCAGTGGACTCGGGCAGCCTGGCCACCCAGAGCTCGGCTGCTGGAGCACAGCCTTCCCCGCAGGAGCATGGGAGGCTTCAGGGCATGAAGGCAGCTCCTGAGAAGCTGGCGGAGAAGACACGCTGGGAGCCACCCAGAAGACCAGGTGTCTTTATCCTCCTCCCCCCACCCTGTCGTGCAAGTCACACATAACACAAGGGACCAGAAGTGAGCCCTGCCCGCTGTCGCCAACACTGCCCCTGGCAGGAAAGCTGCGAGCTAGAGCCCAGCTCTCCTGGACCAGAAAGCAGGGCCACTCTGAATGGGGCCGTCAGACATGAGAGCTCGTGCAAGGTTTTGGGTTCCCCTAGGGCCCCAGAGTGCCCAGAGAGCAGGGACGTGTGTGCAGAGCCCTGCTGTCCACTCGACAGTGTCCACAGAGCTGGTTCCCTCTTGTACCACGCACACCAAGGTTTCGCTCAGTGCTTCTCCCCGCTGAGAACACAGACCATAAGGAAAGGCATTTGGGGAAGAAGGGAACAAAGCATTTATTAAAGTTGTAACAACAACCAAAAACCCCCACCACACCTTGGGAAGCTCTGAATGAGGCTGGAGGGCAGAAGTGGTGCTGCTCTTAGCCCCTGCAGGCAAACAGGCTCAAGCAGAGGGGAAAACGGAAGACCAGTGGCAGTGTCCTCTGCAGCATGTCCCCAGGTACGCAGGCCCTAAGGCACACCACACCTGGCACACCCAACACCCAGCAGAAGCATGGAAGCTGAGCAGCCACAGCAGGCAGAGCCGGGCACCACTGGCAGAATGACAGCAGTGCACTGACCAGGACACACAGGGAAGCTGCATTCACAACACCACGCTAACGCAGTTTATGCACACATACATGTTACATGGTGCTGTCCAAGAGAGCTTGAAATCACAGCAACTTAGAACAGTGTCCTGTGCATTCCAGGTGACACACGTCAAGGTAACAGAAGTCCCCGCCTCCCTCCCTCAGCCCTCTCCAATCATCAGTCCAGAAATGGCAGTACATACTCTACATGCCCCGCCACCCCCAAGTCTCCCCTTCTGTGGGACTGCCCCGGGACGGGCATGGACCCCACTCCATTGACATATGCATGTCTATTACTGCACTGCACACCCAGGGAGTCGGATTTGGAGGAGGACAAAGTGAGGGTGGGGCGGGATGTCCTGTGGTCAGCAGAGGTCCTTCCAGGAATGCAGCGTGTGCTAGTGGACAACCAGACCCCAAGAAGCCAGTCTGGTGCCTGAGTGGTAAGGGACGGGCAGGTGAGGCGGTGGCAGCAGGTGTCTGCAGTCCCAGACCCAGCTGGCCCATCCCAGGCCACTGCAGGCTCCGAGGGCCCGTGAGAGGGCACAGAACTTCCCACCTGCCTCTCCTGCGATGGGGAGGCCACAGGCCCGCACAGTGGTGTCTGCACATGGACCTCAGAGCTGTTCCTGCCCTGCAGGCACTGGAAATTCTGCCGCCCCTTGCCCAGCCAGCACTGGCACCTCCCAAAGCAACCACACTGCGTCACACCTGTTGATGGCCATCTCCAAGTGGCCACCTCTGCACCACACACGAAGAGCAAGACCAGCACCTGGGACAGTAACGCAGCACTGCCAAGGCCCATGGAGTCACACGAGTAGTGCACAGAACACAGCCAAGCCAGGGAACACCACTGCGCCCCCGCGCCTGTCCACAGCGACCAGACCGATCTCGCAAAGCGCCTCCACACAGTGCAGAAGCCTGGAAAGCAGGAGGGCGGCCTCGCCCACTTCCACTTGGTGGAAGGGAAGAGGAAGAAGACGGCAACCACATGGCCGCTGGCGAGCTGGGAAGGTGCTGTGGGTCCCTGGGCCTGCGGTGGCTCTCAGAGGACCAGAGCAGCCCAGCTCTGAGGACGCAGCACAGGCCAGGGACTAAGAGAAGACGATCAGCCTTCACGACAGTGCAGAGGGCAGCTGCGCCCTTTTGCCTTCTGCTATCGGCTGAGCAGCCCTGACTTCATGGAGTATCTGTCATGCCGGTCTTCACCCCAGCTGCAGCCACACGGAGCCACAATGACCCCAACCACACACAGGCACAAAGCCATGTCCAGCTCTCCTGGTCCCAGACCCTCCCAGCACTGTCACTGCCTCTGATGTAGCACACGGGGAAGGCCAGCAGCAGCCCAAACATGGCGGGCATGTGCCTGGCTGGCCCTGCTCTCCCGTGACCGCCCAGGGCCACAGCAGCTCTGCCGCCTCTGCAGGCCACGGGACCTGCCTGCAGCCATGCAGACATGAGCCCAGACATGGCCAGGCACGCTCTCGGCACACCTGTCCTCTCCCCAGCCGTGTTTGCTGGGTGCTGCACTTTCTTCCATGACTTTTATCTCAAGAAAAAGTCACTTTAGAACGGAAAGAGAACAAGATGATTGTCCTGAAGCCTGATAACAGAAACACAACTGCCACTAGGAAGCCGCTAGTTACCCATCTTAACAAGACGGACGTCTTGGCTCAGCGCACCTAAAGTCAGAATGCCAAGAAACAAGGCAGAGCATAAATAAATGCACACTCAGACTGTTTGCTTCCAATGGACTTTGGAAATACACCTTAAAAGCCCTCACCCAGGACTCCAAAGCTAAATCCCACAGCAATCATTGCTGTCCCAACCCCGGGCCGCCTGGCACCTCTGTCCACAGCAGCCAAGACTCGGCTGCAGGACTGCTCAGCAGGCAGCACCGCCCCTGTGAATGGGGACAGACAGACAGCTAAGACGGTGCCCCCTGGGAGCCACCAGGCTCCTCTCCCGGACCTGGGCCAGGAGGTAATGGCCGCATCGGGCACCAGGCTTCCTCGCTCTGTGGGCCACAGGTCCTCAGGGCTTAGCACCTGCCTTCGCAAGTGCTCCCACGGACAGCTGCTCCCAGTCCTGCACCCTGTCTTTAACAAGAGGCACAAGGAGCTGTGGTGAAGTGAGCACCACTAGGAGCAGGGCGAGTCTCAGCCTCCAAGCCCATCTCAGGCTCAGAGCTGTCAGCTGTGCAGCTTCCGAGTCACAACAAAGCTGCTGGGATTCTTAAAAACGAGCAAAGAGGCAGTGAACGTGTCCTACAGACCTGCTGGAGGTCGCATACACCCAGGAGGACAGGAGCAGCCTCAGCCTGGCTCATTCCCTCGGACACATCCCCTGCCTGGCCAGGTCTAGTCAAGACCCAGAAACGAGGACAGAGCCAGGCCATTCTTCTCCCTACCTTAGGGAAACGGCCTGAAATCCCAGACCCAGCCCAGCGGGCGCATCACCCACCTTCAGCTTCATGGCCCCTGAGCATGTAGCCGTCCAGGCGCTGGTGTGCAGCAAGCCGGGCTCAGGCCCCCACAGAAGGCACCTGGCAGGCAGAGTGTGTGCTCACCACACAGCTCGCCTGGAGAGAGCCATGCAGCAGGCAGCATGGGGAAAGCCTTCCGAGAGTCCCGTACAGCACAGAGTTCAAAGGGAGCAAATTCGCTCCCAGGCCTGAGAATCCCCTTTAATGACGCGAGGCCCCGTGTGGTTGGCTCCCCTGTAGGTGCCTCAGCCCTTCGGAGAATCTTTCTCTAACTCCTTAGAGCTCCTGGCCCAGCTGGAGTCAGTTCTAGTTCTAGGTCTTCCCTGAGCACCATGAGCAACATGCCAGGCCCCTCTCCTACACGCAGCCCCAGCTGTCACACCCTCATCCTGTTGGCACCAGGCCTCTCCGCCTGTGCAAGCTCTCCTGACCTCAGGAGCAACACAGAGCCAAACCCAGGCCGCAGCCGGGCGACTTACACGCACCACCAGCCCCGCTCATTGCTGAGCAACACCCAGCAATCGCGCTTCCCATCCGAATCAGCACTCTCACAACTGCACGCAGCGCCTATGCCGCACAGGCGCGAGCTCCGTGTCCCAGGCAGAGCCCGCCACCCCCGACACTCGGCCACGCTGCCTGGTCAGCTCCAATACAAAAGAATTATAATAATTAACACAGCATCTGTTTAATTTCTACAAATTATGTTTCTCTTATGGCAAAGAAAGTCTAAACCTAGATTTGAATCTCACCCTAAAGCACATCTTAAATGTAAATCACCCCAGATCAAGACCCTGAGACTCAAGTGACAGAGACGTCACTGCACAGCCGCAGCCCGAGCAGGCACAGAGCGCACTGCGAGTGCCCCACAGCTGGCCGCACAGCCCGGGCCGCAATGACAGCTCGCCTCTCCCCTGCCACGTGGACACCCAGGGAAGACCCTGGCTTCACCACTCCTCCTTCACAGATGCCAGGGGCAGCTACCGAGACACTTAGACCCCAACAGTAAAGACAGCCAACCGACCAGCAGCTGCCTCATCTGCTGGACACCAAGCAACTGCGGACACCAGCACCCAAACCCCCAAGGACCGACTGAGCTCCGTTTCTGAAGTGAGGGGCAGACGACAGTGCCTTGCTGTCCTCTAGTCCCACGTGCACTGGCAGTGAATGCTGTGGGATGGTCCTATGCCGGGATGGAGGCAGTCATGTGCTGGCCAGCTCTGCTGGGCCTCCTCAACCCACCCTCGTCGGGGAGCTCCCTAAAGTAAGTGGGAGGGAACTCACGACACCTGTTGGTGTGACACGAGGCACAGGAGGTACATGGACAGGTGCTACGCTGTGGAGCTCTCTGCCTGTGACCTCCATGGACTTGGGTACCACCAACAGGCAGCATAGCCAGGAAACCACGCTGGATGGAATACAGGTCACCCTAAGAATGCCAAGCAGCAGGAAGGGGTGCGCGCGCACGTGTGTGTGCGTGCGTGCATGCGAGATGTATCCATTGATTAAACCCAGAAGCAGGGAAAACTAACTAGCAAGTTCAGGAACTGCATTTCTGTTCCCTACTTTTTTTCTTTAACCAAACTCCTTCTGCATTTAGATATTAGGTTTAATAGAACAATTAAATTGCAAAGTAGAAAAATAAATAAAAGTACAGTTCTAGAAAGTGCTAGGAGTCTTCCCTACTGGGGACGTCAGCAGCCCCCCTGCCCTGGCCCACACCTGCATGCACATCAAGGTCCACTTCATTCATATGCAACTGCGAAAGTCCCAAACAGAGATATTCAAGGAAAATGAAATCAAGTTTTGTGTGAGCCTCTAGGCGAACAATGACCCCCGAGCTGTTCACCGGCCCAAGCACCTGAGGTGGAATTCCTGTCCACGAGAATAAGGCCATTGCTTCCACAGCCAATGGACAAGGCAGCAGCAGGACGTGGTTCACAGGATGCAAGGACTGGCGCCAGCGTGCACCGTGGGCACCTTCTTCTGCACTTCGGTCAGCGGCTGCACCTAATTCTCCTCATAAAGTAGAAACTTCTTGATGGGGTCCGGCAGCGGCAGCGAGGGGATCAGCCGAAGGCGACGTTTGCCAAGCGCTCTTCTCACAGCCACGCGGCACATGTGCAGCAAGGTCCTGGGAACACCTGCAGAGCCGCAGGGAAAGAGACAGAGGAAGCAGGTTAATTCCTGCCCGCACCGCAGGGCAAGGCAGGGCGTGCCTGACTGAACTGCACTGATGCTCAGGCCAGCCCTGGCTCTCAGTCAGGGTGACAGCGCCGTGCCACAGCTGGTTAACCAAGGGGCTGCCAGGCACGACAGCGTTTCCTCCCTAAACCACACTTAAGGACCCAGATGAAGAAACAGGAACTGGCCCAGTGAAAGCCCGCAGGAGTGAGCAACCGCCCCCTCCCTGCTCATTCCAAGCTCCAACGGGTCCAGGGCTGCACACTAACAGCCCCTGTGCGGAGCAGCCTGCTAACCCTACCCCAGGTTAAACGGCACAGCCGAGGCCTGCCTCGCTGGCTAGAGCAGAGGGTGAGAGCTCAACCCGTCGTGACCACGGGCAGCCCTGTCCACAGCACGGTCCCCACCTGTCGTGAGCCAACTGCTTTTGAGAGAGCTAAATAAGAGCACGTTTTAGCGAAAGCGTTTAGGAAGTTCCAGCAACAAAAATGCACGGAGGCTAATGTTCTGGGAGAGGTTGGGGTCAAGGGTGAGACTAACAACACAGGGCCCACAGGACCCAGGCAGCACCAGGGCAGGATGCGGGCACAGAGGACGCAGATCTCTCCTGAATCCCGGAGAATCCTGGTGACACAGCCATGCTAAGGGGAAGTTCCAACTTTCCTACCATTTATTAATCTTTAGCAAAATCTTTCTGCACAAGTAAGCAAAATACAGGCTTTATTCTAAGCAACATCAGACAAATCACACAACCCAAAGCCACTGTGCCTGGAGGGAAGGAAGGAACTGCAGAAACTGAGCCTGGAGACTGCTCACTTCCAAACCACATATACAATCAGTCGCTGTCTCTAAGTCTCTGGGGCACCAAAGTAGAGCAAAGGGCAAAGAGAAGATAATTCTAGGAACTTGGAGAACGCACGCATGTGTCTATAGACTTCCTGTTACCAACTATGGGTGTGAGGCACTGCAAAAGGGAAGACCAACCCGCATGGCCATTCGGGAAAACTGCTCGTTCCCAGCCAGGACTCTGGCCAAGTGGGCACTGGCCGGGTTTTGCTTTCACTACCACCCCATCTTGCTCAGTCCATCAGCCCAAACGGACCCAACTGGAGCTGAACGCAGCCCACTTACTTCTGGCCTCTCTGAAGACCTTCAAGGCCTCGGGGTCCACCTTCCTTCTGCCTCTGGACTCTGTGCCCAACAGCTCCCACCTCACCAGGTTCAGGTTGGCTCCAAACTCCACAAGCAGGCTCACGAAGGCCGCCTCACAGCCGTGACGCAGGACGGCGTCCATGACGCAGCCAGGGGAGCCCCTGTAGAACTCCTGTGTGTTGACAGGGCCATTGCAGTTGAAGTCAGGGTTCGCCCCAGCCTGCAGCAGCAGCCGGAAGCACGGCAGGTTGTGGTAGGCTGCGCTGATGTACAGGGGACAGACCACCAAGGAGGTGAGCCGCCGGGAGAAAGGGGGCCGGATGTCAGGTGTCAGGTGATGGTTGACATCCACATCAGCCCCATACCTGCAGGAGAAAGGAACATCAGGCCCTGTAGGGACCAAGCACAGTCTGCCGTGCAGACCACCTTGCACTACGTAGGTTCTGTATTGAGGACCTGAACAATCATGGGTCAAAAGTATTGGGAAAAAACTGTACTGAACCTGCACAGCCATTCTCTTGTCATTCCCTAGGCAACACAGCCTGACAACTATTCACACAGCATCTGCATTAGATGAGGTCTCATAAGTGATCCAGAAGTGATTTAAAGTTCAGGTTCTCTACAAATACTACCCCATTTTTAAGGAGCTTGAGCAGCCTCTGACAGTACTGAGGGGTCCTGGCACCAAACTCCCATATGCAGGGAGGACTAAAGCTTCACTGCTGCCAGCAAAACAAGGCAACAGAATGAGGAGTCCACTCACACATACAGGCTTCATTCTGCCAGGCGCGGAGTCCCCCACTCAGGAGGCTAAGGCAGGAGGACTGCCCCAAGTTCGAGGCCAGCCTGCACTAAATAGTGAATTCAAGGCCAGCTGGGACTACACAGCAAGACCCTGTCTGAAAAACCAAAAACAAAATTAGTAATTCCAAGGCTACTCAAACTAGTTCAAACAAAAAGAAGGAAAATGTCCAATTCATCTTATGAATTAGCACAATAATCTCAAAACATGCCTAAAACCATACCAAAAAGAAAATCTACCAACTGTTTCACTTCTGAGTATCAACTTTAAAGTCTTCCATAAGATAGTAGCAGAGAGAATCTGAGACCTCAATGGGCTCAATGGGCTGTGACCTCAGTGGAGGTTCCAGGAGAGGAAAAGCTCTTTCCAGTGTTAAGAAACTACTGGCATGGCTCGTCAGACGAGGGGAGCTAAGCAGGGAAGCACTGATCATCTCTACAGACAACAGAAAAGCAGCTCAGGACCGAACTCAGTGCTTCCACATGATTAAAAATAAAAAACTAGAAACTGACGGCTCCAACAACTCATGTCCCAAGGTGCTAGTTGTGTCCCTGCCCCCACGTCCGCCCTCCTCTGAACACTGTCCCACAGGCTTCAGCAACACTGGTAGGCCAAACAGAGCAATCTGATCCATGAGACTGGAGAGGAAGAACCAAAGCGCTCCTAAACCCAGAGGGTACACAACTGTAACGTCTGGAAAGGCCTACACAGGCAATGGAAAGACACCAAGTAATGATACAAACAGGGACCAAGGGATCAGTAACCAGACAAGGAAGAAGACTGATGAAGCCAAGAGAGAGGTCTATTTTAAGACCAGCCAAGCAAACCAGTCTTCTAGTACAGCCCATGCTAAAGCAAGGAGAGAGCAACTCCTGCGGAGGGGAGGGCGGTAGCGGGTGCGCACTGACCTGATGAGCGCCTGCAGGATGTCAGCCCTGCCCACGCGCGAGGCGTGGTACACGGGTGTGCTGCGGTGGTGCCGGCTCCCGTTGGGGTCGGCACCAGCCTCAAGGAGGATCCGGGCGCTCTCTAGGTGTCCGTTCACCACAGCCACGTAGAGGGCAGTCTGCCCCTTCACATCCACCAGGTCCACCTCGGCCCCCTTCCGGATGAGGAAGTCCACACAGTTGCCATGGCCCGCGGTGGCCGCAATGCGCAGCGGCGTGCAGGGCAGCCAGCCACAGCACCAGACAGACTTCTCGTTGATACGGCTACAGGGGACACAGGACAGGCGTGACAAGAGGCCGGCACAACTGCTCGGCCTCCCCACGCTGGGGGCGGTCACTCAGGTCAGTCATGCTCAGGTCTAACAAGGCCCCCACTTGCCCTGCTTTCTGGGACCCTGCAGGGCGGGCACTGAGAACCCCACCCCAGGACAAGAAAGCCTGAGGCCTGGGCAAAATGATCTGCACCAGAACTGAAACCTCCTGCTCTGAGACTTCCTGAGCACTCTCCTCTCCAAGGAGCAAGGGCTCTGAGGGGACACAGGGCTTGATGGACAGCACACTGGGCGGGGAGCTGGGTCAGATCCCGCACCACCCCCCCAGACACCACCTGCGGAGGCCCGAGGCTGGGACTCTCTGTGGGCCTCATCCTTCTCAACATGCGTAGGTGACCACCAGGTCCGCCTGCCCCAGGCCCTGTGAGAGGCTGGGGAATCACTACAGTGGTCCAGAAACTGCACTCCTGGCCAGCAGCAGCAGTGGTGGGAGGAACAGCAGCAGCAGCGGGACACTACCCAGCCCCAGCATGCAAGGAAGTGACCAGCAGACTATCAGCTGTCTAACCCTCTGGTCAGCTCCCACCACAATCTGAACTGAGCTTGGGAGTACAGCACTCCGAACCAAGACTGGAGAACACGTGTGGCAGAATCCCTAAGCCAGCCTGGCTGCCCAGGAGCACCGGCTCGGATGGCCATGGAGCCCAGGAACACTCCGAGAACTCGTCTCCAAAGAAGCAAGCACAAGAGATAACATCAGAGCAATGGGAGACTCCCTGAGCCTGAGTTTAAGAAAAAAGGGGAAAGCGCTTGGAAAAGCACCACGGAAACGCGTGGTGTAGGACTTGCTGAACTCTCATGTGGTGACACCCACAGGGTTAATTAAGGCTTTGGGGGAACCTGAATCATTCACATTAAGTAAGTTTAAAATCAGTTTTTTTTTTATGGAGAGTCATTTGCTCTAAGATGCCGGAAGGACAAGAAAGGAATCACGGTGAGAAATGCTTCTCTCAGGAACGCTGCACAGAAAGCAGCAGTCAGCCCCAGCAGGCTCGCAAGCTCGCTGTCCCCTGGGAGCCGAAACCAGGAAAGGGTGGGGATTCGGGCTGCAGTGGGGCTTCACACCCGGCTGCACTCCAGTTTCAGACACACAGCAATCAGGAGACGCTACGAGAGGAAGGCTGGGCTCGCCCAGTTCTGCACAGGGACAGGGGACAGCAGGACTCCCTGCCAGTGTGGGGACTGGCAGGATGTGGCAAGTCAGAGGCTACAGCTAGGGAACAACAGGGAGAGCAGCCGCTGCACCCCTGGGGCACAAGACGGCTGGCCTGGGCAGGGACCCGCGGCCTGAAAGCTAGGGCGAGGGTGCCAAACCAAGTGACGGAGGAAGGTGGCTGTGGGTCCACAAAGCCACTGGGAGAAAGAGCCACGGGAGAAGCCAGGGAAGGGCTGGCACCGAGGAGCCCGACAGCTGCCTTCAGGAGCAAGGCTGAGGACACGCAGGTCTAGAGAGCACCAGAAGCCACCGCAGAAGACGAAGGTGATGACGGAGCTGCGCTGGACCCGGGTCCCCCGGCCACACCACGTGAGCAGCACATGCACTCTGGCTGGGCTTCCCCAGGGCCCCCTTCATCTGTGTTCGAGCACTCAGGCCTGCTGAGCACAGCAGGCTGGGAGCCTCAGCACGGCGCGGCCACGGTGCTCACCTCTGGTAGCTCTCCTCCTGCAACAGGCTCCTGAGCGTCGGCAGGTCCCCCACGTAGGCCGCATCGTGGAGCCGTGTGTCCTCACAGTGCTCCAGCGGGTGGTCACAGAACTGCTCCCTCAGCCACTCCTTCAGATTACGACCTGCACTGAAGACAGGGGCCCCTGTCAGCACAGGAAGCCTTGCCAAGGCCACCACACGGGTGCCACCTGCAGCAGGCCTCCTCGGCCAGCGCCAAGATGCTGCGCTGTGACGGTGTTACCACCCTAGCACACTCCTGACACCAACCACCAAATAGCGTACAGCGTAAAAGGGGGATGGACACGGGAAGAGCAAGCCACCCACTTCAGAATACACACCAAGAGGGGCCGGGGATACAGCTCAGTGGCACAAGTGCCTGCCTGGCAAGCACAAGGTCCTGAGTTTGACTCCTGGTACCGGAAAAATAAATAAATAAGAATACACACCAAGATATTAAATAATTACCAAACTGAAAAACTGTACTCAAAAATGTAGCATGCAAATACTTTAGTTGATCCCAAAGGTACAAGAACATCTAAAAATGGGAAATATGAAGCATGAAGTCCTGAGTTCAATTCCCAGTACCAAAAAAAAAAATCCTGGGGAATATGAAAGAGAATCATCCTCATCTCCTTCAGTACAAAGAGACATCTTATATGTCAAAGGCCAAGTGCCAGGAGGGCATGGCAGTGTACATCTATAATCCCAGCACTCTAAGAAGCTGAGGCAAGAAGATCACAACTTCAAACTCAGCCTGGGCAATTTAGAGAAACCCAGTCTCAAAATAAAAGTTTTCAGAGCTGGGAAAGTAGCTCAGTGGAAGGCCCTGGGTTCAATCCCTAGGACCACAAAAAAGGACAGTGATAGCGAGAAAAAGAGAAAAGAAAAACAGGGAGGGAGGGAGGGAGGGAGAACTCGCTCATCAGACATGCTACAGCCCTCAAAGTTCACATGTGGGAGGCTTGGCTCCCCAGGGTGGCAGTCCTGGGAGGCAGTGTGGACCTTTAAGAGGCGTGGTCTCCCGGGTAGCTGCAGGACAGGGGGTTCTGGCCTTCAGAGGGTCTGAGGTGTGTATTTCCTTGGGACCCTGGTTAGCTCTTGCTCAGCAGTGTTACAGGGTCCCGCACTCAGCCTTCTCCTTCTGGTGTCTTGTCTGATTTGGTAGTGAGCACCTCTCACTACTGCGAACTCCTATGAGGTGACATAGAAAGAGGGTCCCTCACCCGAGCGTGCGCCATGCTCTCAGTCTCCAAGACTGCAAGAAAATAGCCCTCTTTTCTTTATAAAGGTAACCTGTCTCTGGTATTTCATTACAGTAATGAAAATGGACCAATACAAACAGTAAACCTAAGACGGATGCACTGCACTGTACAGAAGTTACACCTCAACAAAAATGAAAGCTAAAACATACTTTATATATGTATATATTAATCCAGCCCTATATTGCTGAAAAATAAAAAGACTAGAGTAAGGAGAAAGACCATACCAGGAACTACGATGAGAAGATTTAATAATAGAGACATTTTGAATGTTACCAATAAATAAATGAGGTTTAACCCATCTCTTCAGGGTTTTGATAAAAATACTCAAATTTATTTGCACATATAAATGAGAATAACTTTTTTTAATAAGGATAACCAGCAAAGACCTGCTGTACTGGATAACAGAACTCTCATCAGAATAAAAAGATAAACAGAGCCAACTGCCCAAAAAAGCTTGGTATAAATAACTCAATTTGTGATAAATCAGCATCAACATCAGAGTAGATGGAAAAGTATACTCAACAAAGGTACACGGAATCAGATAGCTATATGAAAATGACTGGGCTCAGGTCACAGCCCAAAACACACACCCCCAAATAAACTCCAGAGGACTGAGGGGCTTTGGAAAAACAGTTACACAGACCAGTACAAATAAGGAGACTGAGCTCACACTTATCGGGTCAAGTCCTCACCCTGCCTGGCAGCGAAGCGCACCGTTACAAAGCACTTCTCTCACGAGTGGGCTTTTTCCAGATGTCGAAGTTGCAGTCAAAGATAAGTGCAAGTTGGAGTTTTCTGACCAGCTACTCCAATGGCAGCATGATCACCCCAGGGTGGCACTGAAGCCTAACCTTGTCCCTCCACCCCAAGAGAGAAACACAGTAAACAACAAAACAGCACCGTGCATGGGTACAAAAAGGAGGCCTGTGCGGGGCGAAGCGATGCTTCTCCCACAGGACCCCCTCCGCACCGGGAAGCCAAGTCCACCCCGTTTTTCCAGCACAGTACCTCTCCTTCCACTCCCCTTCTCTTGCAGACGACCTGGCTGACCTAAGATCCTGGCTGTCCTGGAGTCAAAACCAAGGCAACCACAGACCAGGCCGGCGGGGCACGCGCCCGGTTTGCTCTGCCCACTGTGGTCTCCCGAGCTAAGCCCAGCCAGCGGTAGTCCTCCACGTGTCAAGCGGGTGGAGGGAAGGAAAGACATTTGTAACAGTCTACTTGCCCGTCTCGCACGTCTGAGCTGTCGCACACGTACGCGTGGAAGCAACCGACGTCCTTACTACCAGGGCGGAGCGACACGCTCTCCGCACAGGGCGCTTCCAGGGCGCGGGCGGGCTCGCGGGGCACGCGGAAAGCCCCCGCCG